CTGTGCTAAGCACCTGCATGTATCAGTCCATTCAATTCTCCAAACTTCCCTAATGTCACGTACAATTATTGTCACCACTTTACTGGCTAGAAAACAGGGCCATAGGTGAAACGAGGTGCCCGCCCACCTTTCAAAGTTTCCTCAGGGACTAGAGAGAACACAAGTACATTTCGGGCACAGAGTGGGCGCTTGGTCAACGGTATGGCTCCAAGTTACTTGGGCAAGTCACTTAACTTCTCTGAGCTGTAGACAGGCAAGCAGACTGTGAGGATGAACTGTGCCTGGCGCATGGTAGCAGTCACTATTTACCAGCATCCCAGCTAGTGGTGATGGCGAATCCCTGTCTTCTAAAGTGGATTTAATTTTAGGGGCGCCTGGGTGGCTCAGTCGGTTAAGCGCCCGACTCTTGATCTCAGCTCAGGTCTTGATCGCAGGGTCGTGGGTTCAAGCCCGTGTTGGGCTTCTCGCTGGGTGTGGAGCCTACTTAAAAAAACAAAACAAAACAAAAAGTAGATTTAGGGGCGCCTGGGTGGCTCAGATGGTTAAGCGTCTGCCTTCGGCTCAGGTCATGATCCCGGGGTCCTGGGATCGAGCCCCGCATCAGGCTCCCTGCTCAGCGGGGGTCCCGCTTCTTCCCCGTCCTCTGCTTCTCCCCCTGCTCTCTCTCTCTCTGTATCTCTGTGTCTCGAATGAATAAATAAAAAAAATCTTAAAAGAAAAAAAAAGTAGATTTAATTTTAGACAACAGCTAAAATTCATGTGGAATTGGATCTGGTGACTAATGCCAGGTGGAATTGGATCTGGTGACTAATGCCAGTGATCAAGCTAAGAACTGTCATTTTTAGACCAAAACAAGGTGTAATTATGGAGCCTCGAGCCTGTTTTTCTTTGGAGAAAGGCCTGTTGCAATGGTGTTAGATCAGAAGGTATTAGAAGTTATCTGTATTCCCGATCGGATTCTTATTCCTAAACTGACCCTCATTTTATTTTTTTTAAGATTTGATTGATTGATTGATTTGACAGAGAGAGAGAGAGAAAGAGAGAGAGCGAGCACAAGCAGGGGGAGGGGTAGAGGGAGAGGGAAAAGCAGGCTCTCCACTGGAGCCCGACTTGGGGCTGGATCCCTGGGTTCTGGGACCATGACCTGAACCAAAGGCAGATGCCCAACCAACTGAGCCACCCAGGCGCCCCCCAACCCTCATTTTAACCAAAATCTTGATGCTCAATCCTAAATCCCGGCCTGACCCAAATCTGACCGTTTATTTATACTGTCTCTAAATTCCCCACACGTGCTCACCAAATCTAGCATCACTGAGACCTAGAAGTTTCCATTCATTCTTTTCTGAGTTCCACTTTGCTACTTTCTGTTCCTCTCATGATCTGGACCTGCATTAATTCTCAAAGGATTTTAAAAAATATAATTACAGGCACCTGGGTGGCTCAGTCAGTTAAGTATCTGCCTTTGGCTCAGGTTGTGATCTCAGGGTCCTGGGATAGAGCCCCATGTCCGGCTCTCTATTCGGTGGGGAGCCTGCTTCTCCCTCTGCCACTCCCCCTGCTTGTGCTCTCTCTCTGTCAAATAAATAAATAAAATCTTAAAAAAATATATAATTGCATTCAAAGCATACAAAATATGAATACATTCTCCTAAAAAGTAACTATAAAAAAAGTAAAAAACAAAAAACAAAAAAACACCTTTTTAGGGGCACCTAGGTAGCTCAGTTGGTTAAGCGCCAGACTCTGGATTTCAGATCAGGTCATGATCGCAGGGTCATGAGATCAAGCCCCGTGTCAGGCTCCCCACTCAGCATGGAGTCTGCTTGAGATTCTGTCCCTCCCTCCCTTTGCCCCTCCCTCTGTTTGCTCTCTCTCTCTCTCTCTCTCTAAAATAAATGAATAAAAAAATTGTTTTAAATAAAATTAACTTAAAAAGTGAAATCTTTTTTTATTTTATTTTTAAAGATTTTATTTATTTATTTGACAGAGAGAGACACAGTGAGAGAGGGAACACAAGCAGGGGGAGTGGGAGAGGGAGAAGCAGGCTTCCCGTGGAGCAAGGAGCCCGATGTAGGACTCGATCTCAGGACCCAGGGATCATGACCTGAGCCAAAGGCGGACACTCAACCCACTGAGCCACCCAGGCGTCCCTAAAATGGACACTTTGTTATGCAAGTATCTATCACATCCATGCAACCTGAGAGGAGAGGTCTGAGAAATGAATTGATCTTTTCTTTCACTTGAGAGCTCCTGCTGTTCACATGGGCCCGCACTCCGACGTCGTGTCCTCTGACCTGGCCCGTCACCCAGCCCACGTTCGGTCCAGTGCAGACACCTCTGGTTTGGAGAACAGGGGGCAAGACGTGAGGCATTCCCTGAGCCACCCCCCCATCCCCCCACCCCCGTTAGAATGCGGATATTTCAGTTTCCAGTTTGTCTGGTCAGATCAACCCTGAGCCCCAGGTGCCCTCCTGTTCTCAGTCATGTATTTGCCTGGGGTTTGAGATCCTCAGGAACCCTCTAAAGGGCTGGTCTTGGGGCCCGGTCGAGGGGCGCCCCTGCTCCGTTGTGCAAAGTGATTTGCTGCCTGGAAATTTTTGCATAAGCTGTGCCTTATGCCTGGAAGTTTCTCATTCCTAGTCTCTGAAAGCCTTCAGGTCTCAACTTATTTTAGTATTTTTTTATTAAGTAAACTCTACCCCCAACATGGGGCTCCAACGCATGACCCCAAGATCAAGAGTCACACTGCATGACCAGGGCTTAGTATACTGTTTGGCACAAAGTCGGTGCTCTGGAAATATTGACCAACTCTCAGCCATGAGCTTCCCCACCTTTGATATCAGTGTGCTAATGTCTGCCTCATAAACGTTATTGTGAGGGTGGAGAGAGAAGGGGAGCAAGGAGACTGACATACAGTAGGTGGTCAATAAATGCTATTATTATTATTATTACTATGCATTCAGAGGCCAATGCGGACCGAGGAATTGTGGAGATGGGGACTTGAGGGCGGGACAGGTTTCGTGGAATAGGCTTGAGCAAAGGCATGGAGGAGAGAGAACGTAAAGGCTGTACGCAAGCCTATGTGGCTGGATGAGTAGTAGGGCTGGGGATAGCCCTGCAGTTAGAAAGGCAGACTGGGGCCAGACCAGGGGGAGCCTTGAACGCCAACCCAGCACATTTCAATGTGATCCTTAGGCAATAGGAAGCCAATGAATGTTTTTGAGCAAAGGTGTCAACTGAAGAAGTGGTAGTTTAGGAAGACTGATTAGGGCAAATCTGGATCAGGTGGACCAAGCAAGTGAAAAACAAAAAGCCTGACAGTTTCATTCATACTCCATCTCTAATCCTTGTGACTGCATAAAACATGCAAGGGTTAGGGGGTAAAGCTCTGACAGGAGTCAGATCTGGATTCACACCCCGGCCAAGCAACCTGACGATCTGGCTGGCCCTGAGCCCTCCCCAAGCGCTCACGTCACCTCCCCAGGCCTCATTTTGTCTGTCTACAAAATGGAGATAGCCATCTCTACCCTGCCTATCTCACTGGACTCTTGTGAGGATTGAGTGAAATTAAAGATGTGCTCATTAACTCATTGAAAAAATGAACCCCACTCAGGGATCAAGTGGTGTTGTAAATGCTGAGGAGACAGGGATGAAGTGGGAGTTCAGTGAAGAGGGACACATAATTAACTACCAATTACTGAGTGCCCACTGCATGCTTTTTTTTTTTTTTAAGATTTTATTTATTTATTTGACGGAGAGAGACAGCGAGGGAGGGAACACAAGCAGAGGGAGAGGGAGGGAGAGAGAAGCAGGCTTCCCATGGAGCAGGGGCTCGATCCCCAGACCCTGGGATCCTGACCTGAGCCAGAGGCAGCCGCTTAACGACTGAGCCACCCAGGCGCCCCTCATCTCAATGAATCTGAACAATATCCTTACTGGGTTGAGCCCATTTTATAAATGAAGAAACGGAGGCTCAGAGGGGCTAAGTAAGTCACCCAAGGGTGTTCAGCCCTTAAGTGACAGAGCTCAGGTCGCGGGCTCAGGGCTGACCCATGGGTAAGATGACTGCCTGCCTCCTAGCGCTAAACCTTTGAACACACCTGGCTATTTCCAACTTCTAGGCCTGTACCTTGTTCCCTTTCTAGGTAACCCATCCCACTTTTATTTTTGCCTGTGGAACTCCTGTTCATCATCTTTTAAATTTTAGATCAGGCTTTTCAGGAAGCCTCCAGGACAGCTGAGTGAGACCCCTCCTCTGGGCTTCCTCAGCATTTAACCAAACGTCTCCCATATTAATCACATCAACACTATATCCTTGTGGGGGGGGCATCCGGCTGGCTCAGTTGGTAGAGCCCATGACTCTTGATCTCTGGGTCATGAGTGGGTCGTGAGTGGGGTCATGAATTTGAGCCCCACCTTGGGCATTTAAGAGATTATTTAAACAAAACAAAACAAAACTATATCCTTGGTCTCTAAACTTTTAAAAAAGCATGTTCCCTATCAGTAAAAAAAAAAAAAAAAAAGAATTTTAAGTGTACACCCATAATTAGGCATGTTTCTTAATAAAGTACTGTATAATACACATGCTTCTGTCAATCCATATATACTAAATATCAGTCAACCCTAGTTCTTATTTTTTATGAAAAATAAAGATAAATACAGGATCTGATCTAATATTTTCTTCCCACACCCCACTGACCCCTGACAAATTACAAATTGGCACCTCAGACCGGAAGCTGGGTGGGGGAGGGTGGGGCTGGCACAGCGATGGGTCCTTCAGGCCGCTGGTGGTCTGAGAACTGGGGAGTCAGCCTCTTCCCTCAGTGGGCTGGACCTGGGGGGGGTGTGTCGTGGGCAGGAGAGGAGCACCTCCCACAGTGCTGCCACCCTCTTGAGCCAGCGGGAGGTGGGGTGAAGTTGAGCCTGGATTAGCCGGGGAGGGCAGGGAGACTCCTAGAGCTGCAGGGTGGCCAGAGAAGGGGGTGCGGATAGGCGAATGCACCATGCCGCTGCAGGACGACACCCTCCGAGAGGTGTGGGCCTCGGACAGGTCCGGAAGCGCCCCCCCCACCACCACCTCACCTCAACCTACCTGAGCCCTGGGGGGTCCCAGGTGGAGGGGTTGGGGAGGGGCAGAAAAGGGGAGGAAGACAGACTGATTGCTCTGCTACCCTCAGCGGACATGAAGAGGAAGGCCAGAGCCCCGAGGTCCAGCAGCGCCCCAAGCAGGTATGTCACCCCTGCTTGGAAAGAGGCAGGGAGAACCCCCCCATTGCGTGTAAACCCACGCAGGGAAGGGGATCTGAGAGTGGGACGCGCCCCCCTCGGCAGCGTCTGGGGGGTTGCTTCCTTGTAGTTTTGCTTTTTTTTTTTTCTTTTGAGGAAAAGGGTGTTTCGGGGCATGGGATGTCCGCGGGAGGAATTGGGACTTTGGGGCCTTGGACGTGGCCATGATGCATGGGAGGGGTCACCGTTCCCACCCCAAGAAGAAGGCTGCTGTTCCCCTCCCGATAATCCGCGGTTATTTCTGGCGGCTCAAGGGATTAGAGGGTCATGGGCAGCCCTCCAAGCCCCCCTTTCCTTCCTCTCCCTACTCTTGACCCCCACTCCGCAGCGACCCGCCAAGGGGCACAAGTTGAAGAAGAAGACGGAGGCTCCCGAGTCCCCGGGCCCTAAGGGATCCAAGCCCCGGAGACCTGGCGGCGGGCGGGTGGCCGAGCCCGGGGGCGCCCCCCAGGGTGAGGGGCCCGGGAGGGGTGCGGCTGAATCCTGGAGTCCTGGGGGTGGGGACAGCGAGGGGCGGGGAACTGGAGGGGTGGGAGCGGGCCGGGCTAGAACGGGCTGGGGGCTGGGAGGGATGGATGAAAGCCGGGGGAGGGGTGTCGGAGGTGGCAAGAGCGCCCAGGGGAGACCCCCACGGAAAGGAGCCCGAGAGGGGCAGCGTCCGGGGCTCAGGCGCCGTCGGAGCGGGGGGTCGGGCCCTGCCTGACCCCAGCCTCTCGGCTCAGCCGGGCGGAGGGGGAAGCCGCGGGAGGAGCAGGCTTCGCAGCCGCCGGAGGCCCGGCCGCCGCACACGGTCTACGCCAAGTTCCTCAGGGACCCTGAGGCCAAGCGCGACCCGCGGGAAACCTTCCTGGTAGCGCGAGCCCCGGACGCAGTGGACGGTGAGACGGGGCCGGGGCTGGGCGGGGGTGGGGGGGGGGGGGGGCGGGGGGGGGGCGCTGGAGAGAAGGCGCGAAGGGCCCGCACGGGAACCGCGACAGGGAGACGGAAAACTCGGGAAAAGAGCCTCTCTTTCTCCGGCCTTCTCTTTGAACCAAAACAACCCACTTTATTCTCTTGTTCTTTACTCCGTTTTCCGGATGGGGAAACTGAGGCACGGAGCGGTTATGAGTTTTGCCTTCAACTACAGCTAGGGGCCAGAGGTAGCCCAGATGGGTCTGGCTGGAGGTCAGAAACCGACAAGGCCAGGAAGATGCGGAGGGGGAGAGGGGCGCCTGGGTGGCTCAGTCGTTAAGCGTCTGCCTTCGGCTCAGGTCATGATCCCGGGGTCCTGGGATCGGGCCCCGCATCGGGCTCCCTGCTCCGGGGGAAGCCTGCTTCTCCCTCTCCTGCTCCACCTGCTTGTGTTCCCTCTCTCGCTGTGTCTTTCTGTGTCAAATAAATAAAAAAATCTTAAAAAAAAAAAAAAAAAAGAAGAGGAAGAAGCTGAGGGGGAGAAACAGTGCAGGTGCGGTGATGAGGGGTGGGGGGACTGCAAGACAGGCAGGAGTGTGTGAGGAGGTAAGGGTCCCGGGGCGGGGGGGGGGGGGGGGGGCCCCCCTACAGAGAAGGGCATTTCCCCCAGAACAGGATTGCCAAGCCCCTCGCGTTCCCCCAACCCCAGCTCACTCCCCCGAACACCTTGGAATCACCTCCAGGGTTTGAGGAAGGTGCCAGAACTGTGTTTCTCCTCTCGTTCCTGTTCCTGTTCCAGAAGGGGAGCCTCCCAGCCCCCCTCATTTACCACTTCCCAGCAATCTGGGGGGACCGGCCTTCCAGATAATGGGGCCCACGCTGCCCCCCCCCTTATGAGGAGCTTCTCCCTACAGAGGATGAAGAGGAATCCAAGGAGGACCACGAAGAGGAAGAGGAGGCAGAGGCAAAGAAAGAGAAAATCCCTCTGCCACCCAAGAAGGTTCCTAAAGAGAAGACTTCTGCCGGGGTCAAGGAGAGGAAGGCTAAGGCCCAGGTTCAGAAGGGTGAGTGTTGAAGGTACAGAGGGACCACACAGACTCGGAAAACTAGCCCTGTCCTTCAGGGGCTGGGAGGCCTCAGTGATCGGCGAGAGCTGAGCCATCAGAAGGTTACCAGTGCCTGGACGCAAGGGTGTCTTTCTCTGGTGTCTTCCCCTTGACGGTCCTTAAGTACATAGATCAATATGTGCTGCCCCCGCCCCCCACCATCCCCACCACTGCCTGTCCAGGGAGCTCTGTGAGCCAGGTAGGACAGAGGATTTTAGTTTAGTGAGTTTTTAGTGTTTTTGTTTTTGTTTTTTTTTACTCAATATGTATTATTGTTATAATTTTCATAAAAGTATCAAAGCCATTACGGTAAAAATCAGTCAATGACATAAATGCTATCATGGCTCTCTGGCCTGGGCACCTCGCCCTACAGGTACTGCAGGCTGGTCTAAATGGGGACAGGTAGCTAGGACCCTGGGCCTCTGTGGGAGGGAGAGAACGCTGTCTGTAGCACCTGCCAGAGGAGGTTTTCTGGGGAGATGGGGTGGGAGCTAGGAATTAGAGGCTCAGTTAGAAGGCCCGGCATTCATTCTTTCAATCATTCATTCATTCATTCTGTAATGCCTATTAAGCTGCTGGTGTTTGCCCAGCCCTTTATGGACTCAGGATTAAAATGCAACAAGCAGGGCACCTGGGTGGCTCAGTTGACTGACTGACTGCCTTCAGCTCAGGTCATGATCCTGGAGTCCCGCATCGGGCTCCCTGCTCTTTGGGGAATCTGCTTCTCCTTCTGACCCTCCCCCATCTCATGTGCTCTCTCTCTCTCTCTCTCTCTCTCATTCTCTCTCTCTCTCAAATAAATAAATAAAATCTTAAAAATAAAATAAAATAAAATAAAATAAAATAAAATAAAACGCAACGAGCAGAAGACAGACTCTGGGCCCTTGTCAGGTCTTCAGCCTCCCTGGGGACTGAAGAAATGATGAGTGGGTTGGAAAGTGGCCTTCAGCCCCAACAGGCTCTTCTCTGTCTAACCCCTACCTCCATTTCCAGGGGACTCCGGAAGCCCTGTCGCCCCAGCCAAACCTCTGCGCATCAAGAAGAAGGAGGCGCCAGCGGGGGAGGGGCCCAAGATGAGAAAGACGAAGAAGGAAGGTGAGACTGGTCTCTGGAGGAACAGGGGACTCTGGGTGTGGTGGCGTGTGACTCCTGCAATCCACCCACACAGGGTCTGGGGAGGCTGACAAGGACCCCTCAGGGAGCCCGGCCAAGGTGAGAAAGAAGACTCCAGCGGCCATGTTTCTGGTTGGGGAAGAAGCGCCAGCTGAGAAAACTCCGAAGAAGAAAGGTGGGTGGCCGTGGCCTCTGGTGCCATGACGTCTAGAAGCCGTCCTGGGGGGTGGGGAACCCGAGTGCTGGGTAGGGTGAGGAGAGAGCTCTGGAGTCAGAAGGCTTGAAGGGGCATCTTGCTCCCCACTTAAATAGCTGTGTGGCCTCAGGCAGGTACGTGAGCCTTTCTGAGTCTCTGATCATAGTAATATGGGAGTACTCTCCCGTGGTTGTGGGGAGGCTCCAAGTAAGACATGGGTGTTCGAAGTGCTCCACAGGGTCAGGGATTCACAAGCTTGTACCCCCTCCGTGCCAGGCACTTCCAAAGGCCCAGAAGAGCAGAGGAAGGAGGACCAGGAGGAGGAGGAAGTGGCAGCCGTGGGGATGAAGAACAGCAACCAGAAGGGCAAAGCGAAAGGAAAAGGCAAAAAGGTTGGGATCCGGAGGGGAAGGGGGACGAGGCCCCTTCAGGGAGCGGGGCAGGGGCCTGGGCTTGGGCGACTAGAGTATGGAACCTCGTGGGGAGAGGGGGGCCGGGGGTTAGAATCTTGGCTCCCTCTCTGATGACAGGATAGGAGGACAAAGGGCACCAGGCTTGTGAGAACAGAGAAGGCGGTTGAGGGGTCACTAGAGGGGTCATTAGGGCCGGGATTGGCCCCCTGCGGGCCTGATGTTATCTGGGCTCCAAGCCCTCCCCTCTGCGGCCTGACCAGCAGCCCCAGCCAGAGATGCTCACAAAGCCGCCACGCGAAGAGACACCCATCTTCTGTACCAGAGAGGGAGAACACGCGGGCAGAGTGTGCTCACTGACGGTGTGCGTTGTTAAAATATTTTCACGCTACTGGTCCGGGGCCCCAAGTGCTTTCTGCTACCGAATCTGGGATGGCCCAACCTTCCGGCAGCCGAAGAGTTAACACTGGCAGACAGGTGCCTCCAGAACCCTCCTCCAGGCCCACCGGGGTCCATTCGGACAGACCAGGCCGTCTCCAGGGGCAGAACAGGCTGTTAACTATTTTGAATATTGCTCTTCCTCACAACTAGGACTCAGGCACCAACATGCACAAGCTGGGGTGAGCAGGAGAGGGGGCCTAACTGGAGAGAGAAAGTGATGAAAGTCTTGCTGGGAAATTGGTTTCCACAAGTGAAGAGATCACCCTGAGGGCAGAGCCGGGGTCTAAGCCATGTGGGTTTATTAGTTTGTTCAGGAGTGGTCAGGTCTTGGGGGGACTGACTCACATTAGCCAACATCACCAAATACCGATATATAAACTCAAGGCCAGTTTCTTATCTCCCACGCGGAATGTAACCGCAGTGCCACCTTCAATACAGTAGGCCCTAGAAATTTACAGCCGTGGAAATGTTTGAATAAGCTCTGGCTTTCTCCACATCACATTCCAAACATAGTCTTGCGTTTCCCAAGTTTCTTCTGGAGCAGCCCGGAGTGGAGAAGAGATGCTCCCTTGCCCGCAGGCTAAGGGCCTGCTCGCCGACACCAGCCTCACCTCACATGCAGTCCAAACCTGCCCTCGGCAAAAATGGCCAACCGCAGCGTATCAGGGATTCTTTGTAGCTCTCATATAGCATACACCCAGGCTGGCAGTCCCCTCTCTTCCCTAGTGGGAAAGTTGGGGTTACGATCTTGGCTCCCCCTCTTAGGAGGGATAGAACATGAGGGCAGAGGGTACCAGATCCAAAGGGGCAGTCACCAGGTCAGGCCTAGGCCACCTAGTGTGGAATGCAACCGAACGGTGATTCGGAGTTTTTCCATGAGCAAGATAAGCTTATTTATTCATTCATTGTCTTACCTCGGTATCACAGTCTGACAAACTACCCCCAAAACGTAGTGCCTTAAAACAACAAACATTTCTTTTCTTAGTTTCTACGAGTCAGGAATCTAGGAGGGGCCTAGCAAGGTACTTCTGGCTCCGGGTCTGTTCCGAGAATGCAGTCAAGACGTCAGCTGGGTCTGCGGTCACTTGGAAAGCTTGGTTGGAAATAGAGGATTCACTTCGAGAATGGTTCACTGTCATGGTTCTTGGCTGGAGCCCTCTCCATAGGGCGGCTTGAGTGGTCTAATGACATGGCAGCCTACTTCCCCCAGGGCTCAAGAGTGGCCCAAGGGAGACAGCAAGAAGAAGCCACAATATCTCTTATGACCTGGCCTTAGAAGTGACCCCTCCCCCCATCACTTGGGCTATATTCCATTGGTCAGAAAGACCAAACTCTGATACGATGTGGAAGGAGACCACACAAGGTGTAAACACCAGGAGGCAGGGATCACTGGGGCTCATCTAAGAGGTTGGCTACTACAGTCATTGGTATTTACCATACACTGTAATAATAGCAGTAGCTAATACTTCTTTAACACAGCAGTTCATACCTTTGGCCCCACCTCAGTTCACCTGTTGACACAGTGTCCACACGAAGGAAGGTCTTTCTAAGGCTCTGGCTCTGGCACCATTTTAAGCCCAGTTCCACTTCTTACTAGCTGTGTGAACTCGGGCAAGTTGCTTAGCCTCTCTGAGCCTCAACTTCTTCAGTAAAATTGGACAATTACTTCAGTAGTTACCTGAGAGAATTAAATTAGTTAATATTTGGAAGATACTTAGAGCTATGCCCGGCACACTGGTAGACTTTATGAGTGTTTGTTAAATATATAAATTAAGTAAGGTCTCTCCTGGGGAATCCAGCCCCAACCTCTGCATTGCTCAGAGGAGAAAACGGAGTCACAGGGTGGTTCAAGTTAAACGTGACAGAGTTAGCGGTGGAACCAGGATTTGAACCCAAGCTGTCTGGCTCCAGATCCCAGGCTCTTAACCACAAAGCGAAGCAAAATAATAATAAAGCACCGAGCTCCACAGAGCTGCCTAGCATGGGCCGGCTGCGCTGCGGGGGAGGCGAGGGGCCCAGCCCACTGTAGCTGGCCTGTCCGTTCTCTTCCCACACAGAAAGCGGTGAGTTGTCCTGCCTGCCCTGTGTCCCGGCACTGGGGATCTGCTGAGGGCAGAGGAGCCAGGGCTCCAGGGCTGATACACGCTTTGCCCCGACTCAGAAGGAGGAGAGAGCCCCATCCCCACCCATAGAAGTGGATGAACCCCAGGAGTTTGTGCTCCGGCCTGCCCCTCAGCACCGGACAGTGCGCTGCAGGCTGACCCGGGACAAGAAAGGCATGGATCGGGGCTTGTATCCCTCCTACTTCCTGCACCTGGACACAGAGAAGAAGGTGGGTAGCGGGGAGGCAGCAGGCGAGAGAGAGTGCGGGTGCCAGGATCCAGGCTGGAAGGGGAGGGCTAGAGCCAAACTGGGGGGTGGGGGTGGGGGGCGGGCGGAGTCCAAAGCCAACAGGCCTTCCCTTTCCCCCACTCACCTCCTTCCTTCACCCGTCTCCCCCTCTCCCCAGGTGTTCCTCCTGGCCGGCAGGAAGCGGAAACGTAGCAAGACGGCCAATTACCTCATCTCCAGCGACCCCACCAATCTGTCCCGAGGAGGGGAGAATTTCATTGGGAAGCTGAGGTGGGGCTGGGAGGCCCAGGGCCGCAAGAGACCATGGCGAGTCACTTCCGTCTCCCTCTGCCTGGCAGTGTCCACCACATCGGGCGCTCTAGAAATGTCCCCTGCCCCAGGGCTTCCCACACTTGAATGTGCACAGATCACTTGGAAGCGTTGTCAAAATGGCCCAGTGGGTCTGGGTGTGGGGCAAGGGTCTTCATTTCTAACAAGCCCCCAGGTGATGCCCGTGCTGCTGGGACCAGGGACCTCACTTGACATAGGTCATAAGGGTCCCTGAGGACAGGGACCATGCCTGTCTCATTCATGGTTGAATTCCCAGCACCTGGTACATAATAGCGACTCAATAAAACATTTACTAAGTGAATGAATAGACAAATATCGAGCATCTCCCCTGTGCTGTGTCTCCCCGTATATCTCATCTAATCCTCACTGCGCATCTGAGAGGTAAGGGGAAGGGGGACCCCCGAGTCAGGCCTTATTTCTCATATTTATGTATTTAAGAAACACTTATGTAAGGCCTATCTATGGGTCAGGCATTGTTCTAACTTCCAAATATGAATCCATGTAGTCCCCTTATTGACCAAGTGGTAAATACTGTTATTAGGCCCACTTAACAGAGGGGGATGTTGAGGCTCAGAGAGCTCAGCCTGCCTAGGGTCAGTAAGAGGTAGAGCCGAGATCTGAAGGTTGCCTAGTGTCCTTCCAGATCCAGCCTCTAAAAGACCTCATGAAGGGTGCCTGGGGCAGGGGACAAGACTTGTTCTGCCCTAAGACACCCACACCCTTGACATAGGAAGCTCTCCAAACTGCCTGGCTATGAGGAAGGGTCTTGGAGCAGGGCTGTGGAATGCCCCCAGCCTTGCCCCCAGCTCTACCCTGCTTGCAGGTCCAATCTCCTGGGCAACCGCTTTACCGTCTTTGACAACGGGCAGAACCCGCACCGTGGAGGAGGCAGCACTAACGTGGGGAGCCTTCGGCAGGAACTGGCAGCTGTGATCTATGTGAGAACACCCCCCCAGCCCCCCCACCCACGACAGGACCCTCCCCTTCGCAGGGACCGGCCTAACAGGTATCTCCCTCCCAGGAAACCAACGTGCTGGGCTTCCGGGGTCCCCGGCGCATGACGGTCATCATTCCTGGCATGAATATGGACAACGAGAGGGTCCCCATCCGGCCGCGAAATGTGAGCCCAGCACCTCCCTGACGCCTCCCCCTGAGGGTCCTGTTCCCATGTGATCCATTCCTGACCCACTGCTGGGGAGCTGAGGGACAGGGGCTCAGGTTGCCCATACCCAACTTCCTGGGCACATTCATCATCCTGTGTCACAAATTCATTCTGGAAACTCATGGGATGAATTAGGGGGTTTTGTAATTGAATTCACTTGAAACCAATACAATGAGGTGTTTTTTTTTTCCCCCAGTGTACACCAAATCATCCATTCATATATTCATTCACTGAATGAATTGTATATTGTGTATATTTTACTATACACGTTCAGCGTATGAGTGCTGAGTATTATTCTAGGCAACTGGAAGACATCAGTGAGTAAAAAAGATCTGCCCTCCTGAAGCTGACATTCCAGCGGAGGAGACGGACTGTAGACAATTGTGACAAATAAGTAAATTGTGTAGAATGTTAGAAAGTGACAAGTGGTATGGAAGAAAGAAAAAGTCGGAGTGGGCCTCATTGAGAAGGTGACGTTTAAGCAAAGACATGAAGGAGGTGAGGGAGCAAGCCTACAGATATCTAGGGAAAGAGCATCCAGGCAGAGGGAAGAGCCAGTGCAAATGCCCTGAGGCAGGATGATGCCCGGTGGGTTTGCCGTAAGAGGTGAGTTGAGTCTCAGATAGGGCCTGTATAACTGGTTTGTACTCAGAGAAACAGGAAGCCACAGCAGGGTTCTCCGGAGTGACTTGATTTGCCTTCTACTTTAAAAAGCAAAGGTTGCTTGTGTGTGTGTGTGTGAGGTCTAGGGTAAGACGGAGAGATGCGCCGGGGAGAGGTGGCCTCCTTCAGTGTCAGTCGCTCGCGCCACAGGTCAGTGAGCCTGGGACCGCACAGACAGGATGACTGGTGTGCTCCATACCCTCAGTGATGTCACTTTACTCATTTACAAGGAAAAATAACACCCGTCAGCTGATCACACATCCTTCCATGCTGGCAAGTCACACCATAATCAGAGGCCTGGCCAACCCGCGGGGCTCGAGGCACGGAAGGCTGTTAGACTCGAGGAGCCGCGGGTCCCACAGCTGCTCCTTCCAGGCCCAGACTAAACACGCAAATGCTCCAGAGGCAGGGCCTCCCAAGTGTGTCTGGGCTTGGTGAGAACTCCCCAGGGCTGCTCCGGGTAACTCTTCATCATTTCACCGTCCATTCATTCTACAGTCGTTCATTAAAGCCAGGCACTGAGGATCCAAAATCAGCAAACAGGAACCATCAGAACAATCCGACATTTATTGAGCATGTACGCTGGGCCAGGAACTGATCTGAATAACATGCCATGCACTATAAACTGCTTTAATCCTCACAAGACCCTGTTGTGAAGGAAACTGAGGCACAGAGCCGTCAATAAAATACAATAGCTGCCCTTTAAGTGTCTAATTCTGCCCATTACAGTGTAGTGGGAGAAACAGTAAGAGCAGGTGTCATGGAGGGAGACTCCGAGCTAAGACGTCTAAATCAGACATGGGATCAGGGAGGCTTCTTGGAGGACATGATCTTGTGCAGACTCACTCTAAGCCACGAATGTGACCAGTGCCAAGGGAACTCAGGAAAGAAGTATCTCAAGAGCGCTATCACATAGGCATCACTCCTTCCTCTGAGAAACTCTCTTCTGGGACATCTTATTTTAACCACTGTTTACCTGTCCGTCTCCCCAAACACAACTGCGAGCTCCGTGTCGATCACAGCATGTCTAGTGCATCCTTATGATCAGGTGCCAGCATGTGGCTGCTCCGAGGACCCCTTGGGTGCCAAGGGCACAGAGCACCTACTGTGTGCCAGATGCTACTTCCCAACCCTCCACTTTGGCGTCCCACGGCGAGACCCATTCTCACAGAGGTCCACCCTGCCCACAAGGATACCACAGAGACCAAGCTGCTTGGTCCTTGGTCAAGGATGCCCCGAATGGATGTCCGTGTCCAGGCTGCACACTAGCACACACACGCAAAGGCATGCACAGGTCCCCAGGCCCCTTCCCCTCGGTCCTGAGATATCTCAGCCACCCCTAACTGTCCCCTCCCTAACACTCCCCTTTGGCACCCCAGGCCAGCGATGGGTTGCTGGTGCGCTGGCAGAACAAAACACTGGAAAGCCTCATCGAGCTGCACAACAAGCCACCTGTTTGGAACGAAGACAGCGGCTCCTACACCCTCAACTTCCAAGGTCGAGTCACACAAGCTTCAGTCAAGAACTTCCAAATAGTCCACGCCGATGACCGTGAGTATTTGAGGGCCCAAGCCGGGCTGTTCCCCACCACCTCCAGGACCCTGACCCTCCCTCAGGCCTTTCCCCACCACCTCTCTCTCTCTTTTCACACACACACACACACACACACACACACACACACACGTGCACAAAGCTGTCCTTTCTCACTGGAGCCAGAACATCCAGGAAAGTCACTCCCTCCTGCAGGGGCATTGACCGCTTGTTCCCAGGACCCTCAGGTATTCCAAGCAGGTGTCTCGGGGGTTACTGTCCCAGGCCTTCTTTCTAGCACTGACCAGAGCCAGGGGTAGATACTGGGGTATCTGGGTAAGGCTGTGTTGAAGGGAGAGTTAATCTGCTGGAGCTTGAGAACCACTGATAGCCCAACCTCTACGTGGTCAAAGAGGCTGCTGAGGCTCAGAGAGGGCGGCGCCTTCCCCAAAGTCTCTCAGCGGCTCCAGGAGGTCCCACCGGCCATCAAAATTTATTTCACAGACACGCAGGGCTTTCTAGGTGCTAGGCACTATTCTCTGAACTTTACAGATACTGAATCAGTAAATCTTTGCAACAACCCTGCCCCTCCAAAACCTGAGGAAGGTATTATTATTGTCCCTACTTGGCAGATGAGAAAATTGAGGCATAGGGAGGTTAAGTAAATTGCCCAAGGTAGTACAGCTGTAAGAGGTAGAGCTGGCACAAGAACCCAGGTGGTCTGGCTCCAGGGCCCCAGCTCCCAACCCCTTCAAGATGGCCGCCTTGCGGGGCTAGGGGATATTAACCAAGCATCTCTCGATGCCTGCTCTCTTGTCCTCTCTCAAGTAAGGTCAAAGGCCTGCCCTCAAGGAGTTAGGGAAACAAGATATGCCCAGAACACGATTAAGTAAAAATGTCCCTGTTAATTGGCCCCGGGGGAGAGGTTCCCACTAGGGTGAGGAAGTTTGGGATGGAAAGGTACCTTCCAAGGGACTCCGGGTTCCCAGGATTGGCTGACACTGAGCAACTTCTCCATCCCCCACTCCATCCTAGGGATGTGTCCCCAGTGTCACCTGTCCCAAGGCCTTGGAAAACTGCTCTCCAGATCACATTTCTGGTGGAGCCTGGTCTGCCGAGATCAGGGGTATTTTTAGCAACTTCCTGTCCCTATGGATGCTGGGGGAGGTGTTTGGGACTGGGGCTGGGATCCTGGACCAGATAGGGGATGGGGCTGAGTGGAGCCACTCGATAAGGTAGGGACTCGGGGGGCTAGTGAAGGGAGAGAGCCTGGCAGTCTAAGATGGGACTTGGGGGCTGGGGATGGGAAGAAGGAATGAGGCCAGAGCCATTGGAAAAGGATTCGAGGCAGGGGGAAGCGTGACAGGTTCCTATATTTAAGTGCCTGTCCTACACATAGCCCTGGGTGGCAGAAGATAAGGCAGGATCCCTGCCCTCAGGGGCTTACAGTCAAGTCAGAAGGCCGGTCAAGCGTCAGGTGGGGCCGGTTGGGCCAGATAAGAAAGGGTGGATGGGTGGAGGGTGAATAATTGAGATGGTAGCTGAGGATTAGGGCCCCAATGCAAAGGAGGGAGACTTCTCCCAAAGTTGAGGTCACGGTCTGCCAGGACTGGGACCCCAGGAGATCTTGCCCCCCCCCCCACCGGTCTGTGTCTATAGCCGACTACATCGTACTGCAGTTCGGGCGCGTGGCCGAGGACGCCTTCACCCTAGATTACCGGTACCCGCTGTGCGCCCTGCAGGCCTTCGCCATCGCCCTCTCCAGTTTCGACGGGAAGCTGGCCTGCGAGTGACCCCAGCAGCCCCCGGCGCCCGCCAAGGGTGGGGGAAAGGATTCAGTGGAGGCTTGCAGGGTCCATTCGCCAAAGCCCCCACTGAAGACTCCTCTCTTGTCCGGGGCTGACCCCTCACTGTCTCCGAGTGACCTCCATCCACTCCCCAGCCCCGCACAGGCCGAGGCAGGGGAGGAGCTCAGACTGCGGTCCCACAGAGATGAAGAACATCTGGAGTCGGCAGCCGCACATCTGGTCGCGGAGCTAGCCTGAGCCGCTTCACCAACCGCCCCCCTTCCCCGCCCCGCGCCCCAGTCACTTCCTGTCCAGGAGCAGTAGTCAGTGTTGTTTTAACCCCCTCCGGGATCGAGGAGTGGGGCGGGCTCGGAAGAGGGGGTAGGTGATGCGGGAGGAAGACCCCAATAAAGCCGCGTCCCAGACCCGGCAAGCAGTGGTTCTTCAGCGCGTGCCGAGAACGAGGCGGCGGGAGGGGTCCGGAGCGCGGGAGAGGTCCGGAGGGCGGGCTGGAGGCCTGCCTCCCCAACCCCCAACCCCGCTCCCGCCCAGGCCCGGGGCGCTCCCGCCGTCCCCTCCCCCGCGCCCAGCGCGGGTCCTACCGAAACTCGGCGGGCTCGTGGTGTCGAGACGCCCCCCGCGGGGGCCCCGGGCCGAGAGGGAGGGCCCCGGAGGTCCGGGAAGAGGGGAAAGGGAGAAATTCGAGAAACAAGCCTCTCGGGGAGAACCAGACAAACCGGGTCCGGGCAGGGCGGGCGCAGTCGCCAGGGCGGGGCGGGGTCTGGGGCCTCGGGAGTTGGGGGCGGGCTCTCGGGCGCGAAAGGGCGCTCCGCCTCGGCGGCTCGGGACTGGGGTGGGGGGGGGTGTGTGTGGGTAGGGAGCCCCAAGGCCCGTGCGCTCCGGCTCCGCGGGGCTCCTCGTGACGCGGCACCCCGACGGGAGTCCAGCCGGCTAGGCGGGAGCTCCGCCCTCGGGCCCGCCCAGGCCTGAGCCCCAAATTGCGGTGGGGTCCTGGAGAGGTGGAGAAAGGCCCGGCGTGCAGGGAGCGGTTGGGAGCGTGGCACAGGCAGGCGAGGAGGGGAGCGCCTAGGCGCGGGAAGGCCGGGAGCAGCCGCGGTTCGCGAAGCCGCGGGGTGGGCAGCCCGAGAGCCGACTGGGGGGCGGCCCCGCGCGGCCCCGCCCCTCCCGGCCGGTGCCCGCCCCCCTGCGCGCCCCGCCCCCTCCTTCCCCTCAGCCCCCACCCCCCGCCCCGGCTCCTCAACACAAACTTTCCGTCCCGCTCGCTCCCTCCTCCGCGCCCGGCGCCTCCCGCTCCAGCCCGGCTCATTCCGCACATTCCGGCCAGCCCCCTCCCCAAGACCCCCCTTCCCCGGCCCCCCTCTCAGCTCCTTCGGGCCCGGCGGAGCGGCCCGGCCGGAGCGCCCCCCCGAGCTCGGACCAGGTAAGCCGGGCGGACGCCGGGAGGAGGCCCTGCTGGGAGAGGTGGTTTGGTTGGCTGGTTCTGGATTTGGGGGGGGGTCCTCGAGGGGGGCTGGGTCCCCGAGCTATTGTCCAGCTTGAGCCTGAGCCCCAGATCTGGGTGCCGGGAAGTTTAGAGGGAAGGGGGGGGAAAGCTCTCCGGGAAGCCCCGCCCACCCCTCCCACCCCCACCCACCCACCTCCCCCCCCCGCGACCCGGACGAGTTGGTCGGGGGAGGTCGGGGAGCCGGGAGATTGTCCCCGGTGCCATCGCCTGTCCCAACTTACGCTTTTGGGGTGTCGAGGCAGGGGTCTGGGAGCCGCATGGTTTCGGGGCCCTGCCACCGGGAAGATCCTCCCCGGGACTCCCAGTCGCGGGCCCCGCCGCCCTTTGGACTCCCGGCTCGCTCTCTTCTCGAAGCCGGCCCGGCCGCCGCTCCACGCAGGCCTCGGGCCGGGCCTCCCGGCGCCCAGGCCGGCTCCAGCGCGCGGTGCCTGTGGCTGCGCTGGATTGTGGAGTGTGTCTGGGAGCAGAGCTGCGCGCCCTGGGCGTGTGCCCCCTGAGAGGCAGGGGCTTAAGCTCCTTCCAGTTACGCCGCCTCTGTTGGGGTGGAGGTTCGGAGTTCCAGACCAGGGCTCTAGGAGCCTGGCTCCAAAGAGGGCTGGCTTTGGGGCCTTATTTTCGCTACACTTCCTTAGAGCCCTTGTTTAGACTTTAGAGGGTTTGAAGGAGGCTTGTCCCCACCACTACCACCACCACTATTGTCTGTCATGCCCTTTACTCCTGCCTGGGGGGGGAGGGCCAGGAGTGCCTGTCTGCATCTGGTTTTCAGCTAGCCAGGCCCCAGGGCAGTGTCATTGAGACCCCACTCTCACCTTTTTGGGAGAGTTGCCCTGTTCCAGGGCTCAGAGATTCTTTCTGGACAAGAGGGAATGAGGCCTTGGGGGAGGGCTTCTCAGGGGGCACCACCCTCTGTGCTTTCTCTCTCTCCAGGTAGAGGCAGAACCAGGTCAGGCCTGGACTTGTAGTCCAGGAAAGCAGGGGATGAGGGTAGGAACTGGACACAGCTTTAGGGGCTGGAACCCATGGCGGCTCTGTGTATCTTGTCTCCTGTGGCCTGGTTCTGTGCATACATGTTTCACCCCAGTGCAGGGGGCCGGGACACCTCCTTGGCTAGAATGTCAGGGGCAGCCTGGAGCAAAGAGGAAATCCAAAGTCCCCTCAAAGTTGGACATTTAGGGGGATTATGTGCTCCTCCCTTCCAGATTCTTGTAGCTCCTTTTCCAAGACCCTCGCCCAGGAGGGTGTCATTCCAGGACATGGTTCTGCAGTCTTCTGGATCCCTGCTCACCCTGTGGGCAGGGAATGGACAGATGTATCTTCCAGGAACAGACTGGCTGGTGAGGGTGACTTCAGGGGCCCTGGATGCCCCCTCCTCAGGGAGAGGCTAAGAGCCAATGGGATTTTCAACTTCATGAGCCTTCCCCCACCTCCCTAGGGAGGGAACAATAATTAATGCTAATTAGTGCACTGGGGCTGGGGACTGGCTCAGTAGGATGGTCAGTGATTGGCAGGACAGAGCTGTGTGTGTGTGTGTGTGTGTCCCCATATCTCTGTCTCTGTGCTCCCACCCTCGCACTCAGGATTGTGGACCCTTTGTATTCTGCCAGTTGAGGAAATATTAGAACCAGAAGGGAACATCTCAAAGAGGAGGTCAAGAAATAAGAGATCTGGTCCCAGCTGGGCCTTTAGCCACCTGTGTCATCTTGGGCCTCAGTTTCCCTGCTCAGAATAAATGACTGCTCGGGCCCCTTGTCTCTGAGCTCCTTCCAGAATCCCAGTCTTCTAGTCAGTGGGCCTTCCTCCTTCCATTACGGACTGTGAACCTGGTGAGGTCGGAGAGGTGAGTGGGTGACCAGTGATCTAAGGAAGAACGGGAGGACGAACCAGGGGGTGACTAAGGAGTATGTTAGCCAGGAGAGTGTGGCTGAAAAGGTTGCAGGCAGCAGGCGTCAAGGGACAGAGAAGCCAGGTGGAGCTCGGGGAACTTGCCCTCTGAAGTGGCCCTGGGGTCTGGCAAGGCTGGCCGGGGTGAATTGTGTTGAGAGCCCACGTGGATGGCCTGCCCCTCTGCCTGACTCCCAGAGCCCCCAAAGGGCTCAGTGTGGAAGCTGGAAGGGAACCGAAGCTATCAGTCCTGTCCACCTCCTCACTTAGGGAGGGATGAGGAGCGGAGGGGTCCACCCACGGTGAGGAGAGTGGGGAAGGGATCTGGGGTGCCAGACCCCAGGTTGCTGGGGAGCCGTGAGGACTCGAAATGTTGCAGCTTTTTGTGGTGGTAGCTAGGAGGCCACGGTCTCTTCCCACGTGGGGGCTGCAGAAGCTGTGGGGTCCAGGTCTCCATGGGCGTCTGGGGCAGCCCTGGGGCCGTGGCAGGAGCCTCTGTGGTCAGAGGTCAGCAGATCACACTCAGCCCCATCCTCAAGGCCTTGCCCTGCCCTCACCTCTGGCCTGGTGTTGTGCCAGCCTGGGCTTGTCTGCAGGAGAGGTGCTGCCCCTCAGGGGAGAACCCGAGAGGGGAACGGACTTCACCTGTCCTCGCAGGGTCCCACAGGAGGCTGGAGGCCAGAGAATCCCTGCCCCTGCACAGGTCCCCACAGTCAGCCCTTGAGGTTTCCTAGAGTGCTGATTGTTTCCTGTGCTCCCTGCCAGGCCCGAAAGGACAGGAAGTGATAGAGGGAAATGAGAGTGCAACCGTGTGTGACGCTGGACGTGTGTGAGACAGAAACTGAGTGGGACATTCTGCGTGGGTGACACTGCGTGGGGGGGGTGCGTGTGTGACAGAACCAGCTAAAACCAGTTTCTGTAACTGCATGTGAGGCTGGACTTGCACAGGAGAGAAACTGTGACACTGCCCGTGACTTCATAACACCGATGTGTGTGACCGACACTGTATGTACGTGGGAGCCACCATGAGTGACGTGTGTGTGAGTGTGTGTGAGTGTGTGTGAGTGTGTGAGTGAGCGAGTGAAAGAAGCTATACACATGGTCTGTGTGTGAGTGGCCGTCGCAGGGGACATGATTTCTGAAAGACCAGGAGCTTGAGCCTGGGTCTGACTCTGAGGGGATCCACATGCTCTGCGTGTGTGGGAGACACTGCGATTGTTGGATGCTGTGTGTGTCAGAAGCAGAACGGGTGCCATTCTGCGTGACGTACGGTACTGTGGTGTGACCGTGTGTGTGTGTGTGTGTGTGTGTGTGAACAGCACATGAGGTGGCCTCGGGTTTGTAGGAACTCTGATGGGCTGCATGTGCAACTGTACATGACACTGTAAAACTAGGACAGTATGTGGCGCGTGTGAGGAGAAAGCATGGTGACACGCTGCTGAGCAGCTGTGTGAGAAGCCGAGTGGGGGAGCCTGAGCTCCAGGCCCTGCCTGTGCAGCCCCGCACGTCGGGGGACCTGTGGGGTGTGACCCAGATGCCTCTGTGGGTGGGCACTCTCTACGGTTGCTGAGACCAGAGGACAGTGTGGGTGGCCGCCATCAGGGCTGGGCCAGGCATGCTCGGGAGACACTGTGTGACAAATTTGGGGGCCCATGACCCTGATGCCTGGCGTGTCCATGCGGAGGATGGTGTAAAAGATAACCGTTAAAAACAAAGGAGGAAAATACTTAACGGCACTGAATGATGCGCTTAAAAATGGTTAAAATGATAAGTTGGATGTAATGTGTGTGTTACCACAATAGAAAGTTTAAGAAGGAACAGGATAGGGGTGCAGGTCACCATGGATGTGTGCGGGACGCTGGCTGGGCAAGGGCGTGTGTGTGTGAGTGGGGAGGGCCACGAGGAAGCCTGGATGTTTGTAGAGGACACTGTGACTCTTGTAGTCGTTGGGGGGGGGGGCGGCCGAATGACTGGTGGCAGCTCAGCGGGTGACGCAGAGTACCAGGGGCGAGGGCACAGGCCGCTGAGGCAAGACCCTCGGGCGCGTCCGCGGACAACTGTGAAACCCACCTAACCAAGTTACCCATTGGCTGCCGCCCCCCACCCCCAAGCTGGATACCAGGCCTTCGCTGGAGTGAGACAAAAGGAGATGGGACGCCTGGCTGGCTCAGTCGGTGGAGTGTGCCACTCTTGATCGCGGGGTCGTGGGTTCGAGTCCCACATTGGGCACAGAGATTACCGAGTTTAAAAAAAAAAAAAAAATGAGACAGGACAGGGTCCTAGAGTAGGGGCGAAGGGAAGTCTCTCTGCTTCTGCGGAGGTTTGAGGGCTCCGAGACTCTACCTCCCTCTGTCCTTACCCTGGTTGCGGTGGGGGGGGGGTGTGACAGTGCGGATGAGCTATGGACGGCCTGCCCCCTCTGGTCCCCAGGAAGCCTGTGCCCTGAGTAGTGGGGGTGGGTGGGTGCAGAGAGTCCTGATTCCCAAATTGGAAGCACATTAATAAGCAGGAGAGAGGGGAGGAGGCCTCCCCACCTCCCTCCTAGTGGGCTCTGCAAATTGCTTCCTCCTGTAACAAATCTCTACCCTGCTCCAGGGAGGAGGGTACTCCCTCCCCAGCCTGGCAGGGTGTGGCCACTTGGCAGGGTCCCTCGGGGGTCCTTATGCTGGAGGCAGACACCATCCCCCTCTCCAGTCCCAACCGGAGCAGGGCTACTTCTAGGGTGGGAGCCTCTGGCAGCTGGAGAACAGCTGGCCCCGCTGTGGGGGCGGGTGAGAAGGAAGAAGGGAAAGGCAGAGGGGGTGGGGAGGTTCCCTTAGCCCTCATCAGCTGCCCTCCCCATCCTCAGCACCCCCCCTGCCCACCCCCTGAAGGTCAGCCCAGCCCAGGTTTGGGGGCGGGAGATTTGGGATGCAACTGCTGACTTCACTAATCTTCCTGCCTTTTGAGTGGTGTTCTGGCTCCACATGACAGCACTTGGGGGGCTGTGGTCCTGCAGGGGTGGACAGCTGCTGGCCACTAGACCCACGAGGGTCCCTGGGCTCAGTTTGTCCTCCCAGTGGGGCTGGTTCGGAAGGGAGGGTAGCAGGGGGACTTGGGGACGACACCCACCTACCTTGACTGGCCTTGTGTGCATCCCCATCCAGGGCAGAGGGCTGGGGGAGCCCAAGTGTCAGGCCAGTCTCCTCCTATCCCTTGGAAGGGAGGAGTAGGGCCGGGTGGTCTGGAGGCTGCAGGGCCTGAGGGTGGGGGGCGGGGGCCTAGGGCCTCTGCAGCTGCCCAGCCCTGGCCTCCCATCACCGGAGCTGTCCAGCCAGTTATTCCAGCAGTCTGACCCCAGGGTGGGGAGTGGGCAGCGAGAGGCCCCTTATCTACCCCCCCCCCGGGCCCCAAAGCCTGCTCGCCCAGCCTCCTAGCTCCCATCCCTGCCACCACCCAGAGGACCCTTCTGACCTCAGAAGGCTGAGGGCCCTCAAAGAGGGGAAGCAGGAATGGCTGGTCCGACGGAGGGTGGAGGCAGAGTGGGCCGCAGCGGGTGGGCAGCCTGTGGTAATAACGGGCCTCTGTGGAGGGAGATAGGAGGTGGTCTTGAAGAGTCAGAACAGATGGGACAGGAGTGGGGTGTCCTGGACATGGCCCTGTTGTGGCTGACCCTGGCCCCCAGCAATGGCTTCCCTGACACCGCTGCCTTCTAGGTCTGTCCTGAACTCTGGGCTCTGTTGTCAGCTCATATGCACATACATTCTCTCTCTCTCTCTGTCCCTCTCTCTCTATCTCTTGCTCTCTCGCTCCCCCCCACCACGGCCTGACTCTGAGTTTATTGATCTCCCCCCTTCCTGCCCCTTTTACCCCCTCCCTCAGCTGTGTGCCTCCGTCTCTCCGGATCTTGGTCTCTGTCTGTCTGGGTCTGTCAGTCATGATTCCTGCCCCAACCGTCTCTGGATCCAACTCTCTCTCTCTCCCCCTGTCCCTCCCCCCCCTCCCC